CCCCAAAACCCCAAAACCCCAAAACCCCAAAACCCCGATTTATATTCTACGTATTGATTTGAATAAAACCTATCAGTTTGGTACAAAGTACGCACAGAAAGAAAATGAGTACACCAATGCAGATTCATTAGCAAATTCAAAGATTTTAGGACCAAATTAAGTGTTCTCAATCTGAGAATTGGGTTTCAAGGCTAGATTTTAGGCAGTGACAAACACTATCAGGCAGGCCTTGTATGGTATAATATGGCAAATTTTAGAACTTATATTATCATTCTCACAATCTTTAATAAAATGGTGGAAGATGACAAATATTTGTAAAGAATAAATCAATGATCGTTGGGCGTAGATCCGAATTGCATGAAGCTATCCTTAAAAGATTATTAAAGTCCCATTGTTAAACTACTACTATTGAATATTCTAATAACAATGTTAGTATATAGCCACGAATTTTATTGCTAATAACTAAGAGGAGATAAAAAATCTAGAAAATTGGAACAATGGATACATTAAATATTATTATTGAATTAATCCTCATCACTTTCATATCTTTTCTTTTTACAGCAAAAAATTGAAGCTCTCCTTTTCTTCTTCTTTTCAATTGGCTGTTGATGTTCAGGCACACTTTCTCTCTCTTCGTTATTGGTTTTGTTAGCTTCGAGATCAACATTCACCATATTTACAGAAACCTCTCTGTTATTTTCAAAAGAAGGGATACCTGCACCAACTTCACTCTCTGATTGAGAGCTTTGAGATGAGCTTGGACTTTTAGACTCTTCCTTCTGTTTCATTTCTAACAGTTTTTCTTTACCAGCTTCACCGAATTCATCAGCTGGGTATTCTTTCCAGGGGCCTTTGTGGGAGAAGTAGCATCCCCCTTCATTTTCTCAGGTGCATTCTCCACCCATATCAACAGGGACATTTTCTGGGTCAACATACTCAAACAGTTGTTTATGGTACTTGCTCCCCAGTATGGAGATCTTCTTCCTAGTCTTTTCATCGATAAAAGGGCTAATCAGAGCCCAAGCCCCTCTGAAGAAGAGAGGTGAATCTACAATTAACATCCTTCCCATGATTTCTGGGTAATTATCTTGGCCGATGCTAATGGCTAGCTTGATGATGTTTCTCGATTTCTCTCTCAATTTCTTCATGGTGAAACCTTTGATACTGAACAAGTTGAAAGTCTGTTCAATCTTTCTTCCAGCAGCTGTTGAAGCTGCTGGGAGTCTAATATGAACAGTGGTTTCATATTCTTTGACATAAAAGGCATAGAGCTCTTCTTTAGTTGCTATTGCAAGGACATCATCGATGTCAAATGAACATGGCTTATCAATGGATAACGGCCTTCCCTGTTTGTCAGTTCCATGGTATCCAAATTCATAAAACTCCTTAATTTTATCCATGGAGGGACAACAGTCAATCCAGATAGCATCATCAGCTCTATTCTCAATTCTCCAGTCAAGGAACTTTTTAAACATTTCCAAAGTCTTTTTCATATTAAACTTTCTTGCTCTTAAGAACCTGAGCAGATAATAGTCATCGTATCTTGGATCTTGAGTCAGCTTTTCTTCCCTGATAATATCCTTAAACTCCTGGAGTCTATCTTCCTGTTGCTCCGATAGGTCCCCTTTAAAACCTGAAAACTTATGTTTTTTGTTCCCGAATATTCCCATTTTCTTTAAAATTATTTATTATACTTCCAATCCTGTTGACTTTTTATGGGGTTTTGGGGTTTTGGGGTTTTGGGGTTTTGGGG